AATGAAAATGTCATTCTTGGAGAGTTCTTGCCCACTGATTTTTATTTTTTAATTGACTTCAACACCTAGAGAATAGATGGGTAGATTGTGATTACCTTGACATGGACCTATGGAAACCAGGATTCTATTTTATCCTTGTGTAGATCACTTGCTCGTAAAACAGTGCTAGTTTCATGCTTTAGAATCCATGGTAAACATATGTGAAATGTTCCAAAGCTCAAATAAGTGTTAATGATGGGATGGGGTGGGGGTGCAAGGGCTCGGGTTTGGGCACGGGCTCAAAGCAAGCCAATTTTCTCTTTCAGGTTCTGAGAATTACATTCTTAAAACAGTCAACTTAATACAGTGAGAGAATCTCTAACTTCCCACTAAGATACAAATTTCCTGATAGCTTCAGACAATGAAACTTAATCCTTGACAGCATTATATTTTCCCTTGTTTTTTATGGTCTTCATGACACTCAAATATGGTAATAGAGAACTTGAGAGAAGTGCATTGATATCAGATTTTAATAAAAAACATATGGTGAAGTGATTGCCCTCCTCTGTTAGTGAATTCTGGTGATTTTGAATAGCAGATGTCAAATTGGAAAGGCCACATGTGATCTGATGAAATACTGATGCCCTGTTAAAAATGAAATAAAACTGTAAAATTTGCATGTAGCATTACAGCTCAAGTAGTAGCTTTCTACCTTTCATCCATAGTACCCACATAGGAAGAAGGTACGTTTAAAGTTGGTAGAAAGTTGCATCCTGTTTGTAACTGGATGTCATCTGTTGCCAGAGATTCATTTTTCACTAGTTTCAGTAGTGTACTCTGTTATGATATCTAGTGTTCAGTCAACCTGATTCAGTCCAATTCCACAATCATAAGAACTGTTCCGCAAAGTGTTTCAACCTTAGATGTTACTGTAGTACAGAACAAGTTCATTGATTAAAAAGCAAGTTTATTCTGAATGTGTCTGAATCAGATGCCACTTGGCATCATTAGACTTTTGAACAAGAGAATTCTTCTTTTAAATACCTCTTTTACAAAAACCCCAACAACTCCAGCAGCATCAAGTGGGAGATTTTAATGACCCATGTCTTCTCTCACAATTAGTGGATTTGACAAGAAGTAAATTTTCATTTGGGGAATTTTCCACCTGAATCTTCAAACAGACGCTAATGGGCTTGGAACTACAGAGGAAAGCATTTTTAGGTCAGTGATTTTTCAGCAGCAGTAATAGGAGCTTTACAGTCTTGATACATCAGCTCCAACAGTACAAGTCTTGTATCCAAAGACATAGTTTCAATAAAGTGCTATCACTTATTAATAAATTAGTTGGAGTGCAACCACTGATGTATGGAATTTTGAATATGCTTCACTGGATTGGAACAGCGGCCATGTCGGCATCCATCTGATTAGTATGGACCCGTCACAACGCAGAACCCTAATGTGACAAGGCTCATTAAGTGCTTTCAGTTAAAGAGAGTCCCTGTAGGAAAGGCTTTGTCTTCAAAGTTATTTCCAAATATCATTTTGATCCTTTGCAGATTATTTTTGCTCTCTGTATCTGATTGCTGCTTTGGGCTGAGTGCAGGAGATTGAGGTCTGAGACCCACTGAATTTTCTCCTGACTTCGTTCGGCAAACCTGCTTATCAAGTTCTCTTCATACCTTAACATTATAGCTGTGTTGTTAACATCATTGTATTGTAATTGAGTTTCGGCATGATTTCCTAGAGAGAAGGAAGTGCTGCAAGTGATAACTTTCGAACATGACTGAGAAAGATAATTTGATAATCTTAAGTTCCTATATGTTTTATGAAAACAAATGGCTAGGTAATTGAAAACAAACCAGTGATTTGAGAGAGAAGCCCTAGTGTGAGCATGCCATGCTGTTGAACAGTACGTAATCCGTAGCAGTCAGAAGAAGGAAGGCTCCCGTTCATTTTGTGAGCCATGATATTGATAATTTTCTTACTCAAAATTTTCAGTTGAAAGTTGGTATATTTTAGCTTGAGAAGTCTTGGAAAGAGAATGTTTTTGCAATGTTTGACTTAAATCAATGTTCTTTTAAAATAGCATTGCTTAGAACTTAGATCTTTCTGGATTTACTACAAGCATACCCACTGTGTGTTATTCAACTCTTTACTTTCAACATGAATAAACATTTGCCCTTCATAAATCACAGATGACACTGAAGAGGAATTTCTGGATCAGCTAATTCATCTGCAGTCCCAACTGCTGCGTTATTCCTCCTAGTTATACTTGTCTTTTTTTTTTTTTTTTTTTTTTTTTTTTAAAAGTAGTTCTTGGGTCACTTATGCCATGGTGTTCAGTATTATTCAGTGGCACATAACAGAAACCAGTCTGCTGCTTTCTTCAGATCTGAAATATTGACTTGAGATTTCTCCATATAGCAGGAAATTCTTCCTTATGAATCTGTAACTTTGCATTTTAGACTTCTGTAAAGATTTACTCCTTTTGTGGGAATGAACAAAATTTGTTTCATTTGTCCTGAAAATTAGTCTCTTACAACATTTTCTTTCGTGGTAATTGAGAAATGCTACTTCTTAAATTTTCCTTAAGTCTTCTAAATTTTTTTTTCTCCTAAATGTTTATCATTCCATATCTGTGTTTGAGACCGTTGTCATACTGAATGCAAAGTTATTTTGACACATAAGCAGTTGCCATATGTAGTCCTATCATAAAATTCGATTGAAAAAGGACGTTTTCCATCTGATTAGGTAGCAGCCCATGCAGTTTGCATTAATTTCTTCCTTTATGATTTTAGAGCACTACAGATTAAGATGTATCTTAAACATTTTGAGTGTTTTCAAATTTCTAACTCTTTTTCCTAGAATGTATCAGTAACCTCTGCTTGTGAATAAAATACCTAGTGGTGCTCAATGGAATAAGAGTTCTTTAATTTCAGATGTACAGGATTTACTTTCCAATATAAAAGAAGAGGGATTAAAAGCTTGTGGTACATAGCTGATGGTAAACTCAAGGGGTGAAATGAAGAAAAGTAACTTACTTGGGTAGAAAGTGAAAGAAATGTTTTCAGTATATGTTAAACACATTGTTCACGCAGTAGTCTTTATTATCCAATTCATTGCATGTTAGAATAGGAAATAAAACTCTTAAATGTCATTATTGGTTTTTGGGTCGTCCACCCCCTGAATGATTTATTGTCCTGTAACAGGAGAAATAAAGCATACGTTGAATAGAGTTTGGGGTGGATTAGAACAGAATACTGTTTGCTTGTTTCTTATGTCTGAGTTTCTTCCTTTCTACACTGCTTAAAATAAAGTTTAAAGTAATTTTACAATTTTTTTTTTTCAGTTTCCTGCAGCCTTTGAATTCAATGAGTTATTTTTGATTACCATTCTGGATCACCTTTACAGTTGTCTCTTTGGGACTTTCTTATGCAACTGTGAAAAAGAGAGAGTAAAAGAGGTAAATAATTAGTGTGATACACATTCTTAATTTGTTGATTTTATATGAAAATGCGTAGAATACAAGACCTAAGAATATCTGGGCTGTGTTTTTGGATACATTTGTCACATAGTCTTAAAAGACAACGTGGACATGAAATTTCATGGTATGAGAAATATATACTGAATGCCCTGCTATTAAATGAGGTGGCACTTATTTTTCTTTGGTTATTATCTCTTCAGGGGTTTGAGGGTTTTAGAAAGTCCTCTTTCAGATATTTCTAGCCAACACAGACAATTTTAAATAATCATTATAAAATTATGTTAGCATTTCTTTCACTGTTTCCAAAGGAACTCGTATGGATGACTTTGCAGGTCACTTTAGGACATAATTAGATGGAACTTAGGGTTGAACACTACAGAAATTTAAAATATCTAATTCAATGAAGTTAGGACCCAATGAAATACTTCAAGTTTGGAAAAAAAATGTTAAAAGTTTGTTAATATTCCAAGTATGCTTTTGCTTACTTTTGGCTTTGTTGTTTTTAATACTTCATATTCTTTAAAGCAAGTAACAATTCCTTGCCATATTTAGCTTTGCTATTTTTTTTTTTTTGTTTGTCTCTGCTGCTTCTAAAAAGGGAAAAAGTTGCATGTAAATACCACAAGATGGAGCTGAATAACATGCTCTCAGCAAATGCAGGGTTTCTAGACAGCTTGCTTTCATAAATGAATAGTCAGATGCAATTCTCAATAAAGAAATGCAATTTAAGACACAGCGGTAGTAGAAACACATGCTTTACAACACTGAAAGCGTGTAAAATTGTGAAATGAATCTGATATAAGTTCAGATTTCCAATCTTTGATCTAACCATGATTATGCTGATTACCTTTAGAATAATACAACTTTCAGAAGTGCAAATAAAGATAAAATAGGTATTTTAAAGCATAATATCAATTGATAGGAGCAAATAGTGTGAGTGGGAGAATTGAATAATTATTTTTCACAGATGCTGTTTTGGATCTTCCAAACTACGTATCTCTTCACTGATTTTCTTTTCAAAGCTAATTTAATCTTTTCTTTTTAGTTGGTCAGTGTATAACCATATATATATATATATATGTAGTAGCTGTAAACGTTGCTGTAAATTACGAGCAGTAGAGCTTTCTTTTGCTCAACTAGACCTTAGTGTCTCTGAAAATAATGTGCCTGAATCTCCTTTCGCGGTTAGCCTTGGACCAGAATAAGTGTTCAAATGTTTTACTAAAGTTGTAAGGCTGTTTAATGATCAGCTACTGGAAGTGTTCTCAGAGTGCTTGCAATTTTCTAGTAGATAAGGTAAATTTCACAGAAAAAATTACTGATATGTAGATATTAACCTCATATTTTAAGGTTTTGCAATCCATATAATTAATTTTTTTTTTTTCAATCAGGAGGTAAGCACAAAGACTACATCGCTGTGGTCCTATATAAACAGCCAGTTAGATGAGTTCACAAATCCTTTCTACGTAAACTATGAAAACCATGTCCTGTATCCTGTTGCCAGTCTGAACCATTTGGAACTATGGGTGAACTACTATGTCAGATGGAACCCAAGGATGCGGCCTCAGGTATGAGCTTTCACGTGACTTTTGTGTTTTAGTGAAGAGCACAGAGATTAAAAAGAAGTTGTTATTTTTCATAGTGTCAAATGCAGCATTTAATTTCAAAAGTGCTCATGTGTTGCATGTATTTCAGCTGATAGGGAAAAGGTGATTTTCTCACAGAAGATGTGGGATGTGTTCAAACTTGGTAAAATGATGTTTTCATTAAAGTCACGCATAGAATAGGGAGTTACAGTATCACTTTATTGGCTTGTGAAAGGTAACAGATTAACAGTCTTTTTTGTCAGAAAATCACTGTTATAACACTTCTCTAATACTTCGTTACACTTCTTAATACTTGTATTGCTTAACCTTCTTGTAGAGTTTAGTGTATCTTTGTTTTAATCATGTTTTGCCCTTTACCAACAATGATATAAAATATAGCAGCAGTTTCTGAAAGAATTGGACTACGTACCGACTCATTTTGTAGGCTCTCTAAACTTAGCATCACATAGATGCTTGTTTTCAATTGACCTTTATGGTTTCAAGCTGGCATGCTAAAGATTAAAAACTCCCTATACATGCTCCTTGATTCATCCAGTATTTGTTCTTATTGTAATGTCTGCTATTCAGATAAATCTCTAAATCTTGTCAGACTAATACTCCATATGCTCTCATGCTTAGAACTCTGAAGAAAGAACATTCAGTTTGTGTCACAACCATAATATATCTGAGGGTGCTACACCATCTCTTTATTAAGGTAACATTCCAAGGTACCCCCAAGCATATTATGATAAATTATCTGTATTAAGTGACTGCTCGAAAGCTGCTTTCATCTTTTAGCAGTTAGAATGAGACATGAGTTTCAAATTTATTAGACACCCACAAGTCAGAGGCTGTTGTAAAAGATGGTGTTGCAAGGTAAGTTTCAAGGACAGTGCGCTGGTAGAAGTCCAGGCATCTGAGAAATACCTTTTAAGGTCCTGGAAAAGTCTGGATTGCTTGCTTTCTCACTGAGATGTTGCCTCTGAGCTGCCTTGTTTCCCTTACTTGTTCTATTTTGGTTGATGTAATCCTATGACTGTTAGGTACCTGTTAGGTGTTAGCATGTGTTAAAACTTGAAAGATGGTGTATTTTAATCTTTATGGTTTTAAAGTAAAATTGTCGACTGCTTTTTAGCAAAGTATCATGTTTCCCTTAGCCTATTTGCTGGAAAACATTTGCGTGGTTTATGCACGTTTTAGGATAATCGACCTGCAGCAGTGTCAGTTTATTACTTGTACTTAATTGAGATCTATAGGCCCTGAAGGCGAGCAGGCTTTGTACACGCACGTGAAAGCTGGTCCCGGTCCAAAAGAGATGAGGGTGGGGAAGAGATGACGTAATGAGAAAATACCAGAACTGTCATATACTTAGTGGCAAGCTCTGCTCACTGCCTCTCTGTTGGAGAGTGCTCTGCCCACTTCTGTTGGAGAGCACTCAGGCACTCTAGCACATGTGAATCATAGATCTTCGTTGGTCTTTGAGAACAGGTCCCTCAAATCAGCAGGCTGAAGGTAACAAAATTTGATGATCCTGGCAACTGCCTTAACTTTACTACCACCTTCTTTTCTTGAAGAACTAATACAACTGTTTTGACTTTTTCAATCTACCACATCAGCTTTGTCTTGTGAAGATACATCATGCCTTTCCTCTTGTCTCTGGCCTGAATTTATGTGATACTGCGTGATAAATATTCGGAAGTGTTTCACATCTACTTGGATAAATTTGCTGCAGAAATTACAGTTTTTTGTTGCAGAATTGTGTTCTCCAATCTAATTATGAAAGCAGAAACTCATGCAAACAAGTGAATTGTAATCACAACATACTGAGTTTGCTTTCTTCTGTATTTGCATTGCCTAGTTTCACACCCTGTTAGCTGATTCAGTAACATTCAGACCCATTCAGTAACAGCAAAAAAGACAATCACGATTGCGATGCCCAGCAGGTCTTCACTTACCTTCAGTGAAAAGATTTCTTAAACAATCAGTGGACTTATTAAAAGAATGGGCATCTCCGCCTACTGAGAAGAGGTGTTTTTGTTGAATAACTTTTAATGTGGTTCTTTTGTTTTTCCACTGGAATAAGAGAAAGGTAAACATTTAATGTTAATGAAGAGCTCTCTGATGAACAGCAATTCAAGGCAACCTCACCTACTGCTTTATCAGCTGCAAAAACTTCTTTAGGGAACTAGAAAATATTGTTTTCTAGGAGCTCACCAAAAAGGAGAAATGCCTAATTACATGAGTTTAAGGGAAGATGAAGTCCTTTAATGTAGTCAGAATGGATGTTTGATACCCATTATCAACCATCTTTATATTATGGGAGAGGAAACTCGCAAGAGCAAAAGGGCAGTTTTTTGTTTGAGGCAATATTTTAGGTTTTCTAATTTCAGCTTTATTAGTGAGAGAGGCTTGAATTTTTAAATGGACTGAGAGAAGTTAATCATTGCACTTCATTGACCTTTCTATTGGAAATGAGCATACATCACCTTTAATTTTCTTAATTTGAAAATTACTGAATACTAACTGGATATAAGCATTTATTTTTGCTTTGTTGTACTCTGTCTTCAAATATCTGTGTCTCATCAGATCTCTAAGTATAGCAAGGTCTGATCATAGTTGTCATTGCACTAGGACATACAGAGTTCAGAGTTATTCTTATGTTCTGTAAAGAAAAGATTGCTTATAATGATATATCTTCAGTTCTATCTAAGTTTTGTGAAAGACTGAATGGGTGGTTTTGATGGTGTTTATTTGCATCAAGAACCTCATTTTAGGATTACCTCTGTATTGCAATAGATGCTGTGCAATTAGGTGACACACAGTCTCCTTCCATAGGGTTCAAAGCTCAAGTGCCTGAGAAATTAACAACATGGAAAATTCTAGGTTAAGTGTGGACATCTCTTGTAGATTCCCTTTGTGCTAAACTGTGCTTCAACAAGGTCATTCTAATTCTTAAGTGAAATAAAATATTCCTTGGTTTCAGTTTGGAGGTGTTACATCATTATTGACTTCTTGTCCCAAGAAAATTAGATAGGTTTTAGTCCTATCTTATTTGAGTTCATTGATTGAGAAGAGGGTTTTTTTCCAGATTTGCCCTTTCCTTGGCTTGGAGAAATGTGTATTTGTATGTGACGTGTGGAAGATGAGCTCTTTCATACAGAAGTGTGTGCTCTGTGGATACCTGCTACTGGACTCACTAGTAGTAAGTCCAGTATCTGTCTGCAGTAGATAAGATTGTATGATGCTTTTGAATATTTTCAGTTGATATCATCTATTTCTCTTTCCTTCCCTATGTAGTCATTCAGACCTCTGCTTTACACTGGTTTGAGGAGTTCTGGGTGCCAGATGTCAGTTAGTTATCTGCTTGGGCAACTCTAGAAGGTGGGGAGAGCACAACAAATTATTTTCCTGAATATGACTTCTGCAGGGGCAGTATTTCTGAACTAATATACTCTTTATCATTCATACATGCAGAGCATGAGTAAAAGTTCTGGTCCTTTCAATCCAGGCTGTGCCTTCGTGTGTGAGAGGCAAGGAAAAGAATGTATTTTAGTCACAAAATTTACATAGTCCATTAGGATATGTTTAGTTGTTTTTATGCCTTCTGAGAAATGACATTTTAACCCTTGGAGTGCAGGGCTTAAACTTCTTTTGTTTAATTGTTTGTTTGTTTGTTTGTTTGTTTAAATTTTTCTATGCCTGCTAATTTTTCTTCAAGCTCTGTTCTGGCAGTTTGGCCACTGTGCTAGAGATAATATCATAGGAACCCCTATAAGTTTTTCCAATTCATTCTTTTCTTTGTGTGTGTGGACTTTCATCCAGAATATAAGGCTAGCACCATCTATAACCTAGAAGTTCCATTCAGCTACTGGAATGGGATCATCTGCTGAAGGCAGTCTTCAGAGCTTCCATGAAGAGGCAAGGAAAGTCTGTTCATAGTCTATACAGAAATGATCTGAAAAGCATATAAATAGGTTACCACGATTGCTGCTTCTTTTTTTATGCTGTGTATAGAACTGTAGAAGGATTTGATGTGTTGAACAGTTGAGCGATTAAATGTCAGGTAAGCTTCAGTGTCAATAAACACAAAATACTGCATATTTAAAAGAACAAATAAGATGCTAAGCGTTACTGGAAAAATTGTTGAGAATAAACTGGAAAACATAATTATTGAGATGCTTTATCCTGTACATAACAGGATAGGACTTACTGTCTGGCACATGGGGTGTTCATATTATTTATACCTGCCTTCAGTCAAGTTGCCCAACATTTTCCTCTCTGAGCATGTTGACATTGGTTGTAATATTTTCAAAGTTCATACGTATGATTTAACACCATTTTGTGGCAGGACAAAGCCGTTGTATGGCTCTGGAAATGTTTGGCATTGCTGGTCCGCGATCCATGGTCTTGAGTCCATCTTTTTGCATGAAAGAATGAGGCAGAAGATGTCAGGAGAAGGAACCGCCTTGTGGGTTAGTGTTGTGGTTTAACCCCAGCGAGTAACCAAG